TGCTTGCATTCTTCAGCTGCAAGAGGGAATGTCATTATATAAGTTGGATACAACTAGATAGATGAACAGAGATAAAAATGTAAGAAGAGAAAGGCATACTCTTACTTTGTTCGTTGATACAATGAAGCAGATATAACCTCAAAGAGACATGCTACTTTCTCATACCTATCACATACTGTTGAGGAGCATCGTCGTAGGTGAGGCTTCTCTTGAGACGAGTTTCAGAACACTGTACATTCTGAGGAAGGTCACACCTATAGGTATTGTCGTTGAAGAGAAGGCCTCCAGTGCATTCGTACTTGATGGGTATTCCTTGTGTGGTACCTTTAAAAGCAGTTTCATTCAATGGAAAGCAACTTTACTCTGTCTGTTTACAGCTATATTACTGATTTTGAGACACTTTTTAAGACAGGTAATCTAGATCTTAAAGGCAGTCGTGTTAAATCGATAGAGATTAATAAATATTAAGAGAAACATTTACAACAAACTCACATTTGAAATACTCTGAACAGATTTCAGATGGGTAAAGACACTCGCAAGTTGGGTCACATGTTGGTGGCACTTCTGGCTGGCATTGAGGGTACTGAGTTTGTAGGACACATTGCTTGAATTCCGGGTGGAACACTAGACCCTCTGAACAGGCATGGAACTGTGCATCGGCTCCAGGCTGAAAGAATAAGACCAATTTAGTGCCTGAAATGATGTTTTCTTGTCTTATACGACATATTCATATAAGAAGTTTGTGAAAGCATGGCACCCATACTTACTGCACAATAATAATATGATGTACAGTCATTTGGATGAGGCTTCAGACAATACTCGCAGTCACAAATTTGCTCGTTTGGATTCGGGAGCGTTCTTGGAGCTCTAGGATTATACAAAGTGCAGGATGCTTCCTCATTGTCACTGCAAGCTCCATTCTGAGGCCAGTCACAGTTCTTGCTTGTTGGATTGTAATGAAGACCAGCTGGGCATTGAAGAACATGGGCCACTGAGTTGTCACAAGAAACATACTCAGAGCATTTGCGTGGATGAGGATACAGTCCTTTCCCTGGGCATATGAAGTTACATTCGCCAGAGGAAGTTGTCAGAGCGGCAGCAGTTGTCAGAGGGGCAGTTGTTACTGGGGCATCTGTGACTGTCCCCACATTTGTAAGAACACATTCAGCATCAGATGCAGAAGTGCACTGTACATTCTCAGACCAGTCGCAGATCTTTTTAGCAGCATTGAAAACGAGGGTTGAAGGACAGCTTAGAGTAATTGGCTGTGAATGGACACAAGTTACAAATTTGGAGCAGTCACGAGGATGAGCATACATTCCTTCAACTTCAGGGCAAACAAAGTTGCAATCTTCGGTGTTATCTCCATTATTACCTTCAGTTACTGGGTCATCAGTGACTGTCCCCACATTTGTAAGAGCACATTCAGCATCAGATGCAGAAGTGCACTGTACATTCTCAGGCCAGTCGCAGACCTTCTTAGCAGCATTGAAAACAAGGGTTGATGGACAACTAAGAATGGCTGGCTGTGAATGGGCACAAGTTACAAATTTGGAGCAGTCACGAGGATGAGAATACATTCCTTCAACTTCAGGGCAAACAAAGTTGCAATCTTCGGTGTTATCTCCATTATTACCTTCAGTTACTGGGTCATCAGTGACTGTCCCCACATTTGTAAGAGCACATTCAGCATCAGATGCAGAAGTGCACTGTACATTCTCAGGCCAGTCGCAGACCTTCTTAGCAGCATTGAAAACAAGGGTTGATGGACAACTAAGAATGGCTGGCTGTGAATGGGCACAAGTTACAAATTTGGAGCAGTCACGAGGATGAGCATACATTCCTTCAACTTGAGGGCAAACAAAGTTGCAATCTTCAATCGGTGCGACCGTTGTCGTTGGTGGAGGTGGGACTGTTGTCGTTGGTGGAGGTGGGACTGTTGTCGTTGGTGGTGTGGGACGGTTGTCGTTGGTGGTGGTGGGACTGTTGTCGTTGGTGGTGGTGGGACTGTTGTTGTTGGTGGTGGGACTGTTGTCGTTGGTGGTGGTGGGACGACGTGGTGGTGGGACGTTGGTGGTGGTGGAGTTGTGGTGGTGGGACTGTTGTCGTTGGTGGTGGTGGAGTTGGTGGAGGTGGGACGTCTGTTGTCGTTGGTGGTGGTGGGACTGTTGTCGTTGGTGGTGGTGGGACTGTTGTCGTTGGTGGAGGTGGGACTGTTGTCGTTGGTGGTGGTGGGACTGTTGTCGTTGGTGGTGGGTGGGACTGTTGTTGTTGTGGTGGTGGACTGTTGTCGTTGGTGTGGTGGGATGTCGTTGGGAGGTGGGACTGTTGTCGTTGGTGGTGGTGGGGACTGTTGTCGTTGGTGGTGGTGGGACTGTTGTCGTTGGTGGTGGTGGGACTGTTGTCGTTGGTGGTGGTGGGACTGTGTGTTGGTGGTGGTGGACTGGTTGTCGTTGGTGTGGTGTGACTGTGTCGTTCGTGGTAGTTGGGACTGTTGTCG